TGTGAACATTATTTCTTCTTCCTTCATATGTCCAATTTTTTTTATCTTATTTTAATAATTTAATATTTTTCCTATAAATTGGAAGTTTTATTGATCCAGGTTACAAGTGCTAGAGTAACGAAAATTTCCTTGATATAGAAATGTGCTGGATTTGCAAAAATATTTTTGGTCATCTTCACTACTTACGCATTGGTGATGTTGAATGGGGTTTATATTTTGTTTGTGATGTTTGTGTGATGTTTGTAGCGCTTTCATGTGTCACAAATCACAAATTTTTAAAGATCTTGATATGCATTGATGACCCAACTAAGATGAACCAGACTGCCAATGTAGTTTATAAAGAAGTTTTCCAAAACTCATAATGTAATGGTTCCACAATATATATCATTGTATATTTCCTCCTCTGAAATATTTCATTATATATTAATATGTTAATTGAATCATATCAAATTCTAACGTCAATACTTCACTCATTATTTAGCTTTTAATTAGGCCGTGCAACGCACGGGTTCAAGTCTAGTTCAATCAAGAGTTTGTATTTTTTTAGATTTTAAAAATCATTAGATATTCAATTGAGATTTTAAAAAATTATTTAAAATTTAAGGGTATTCAGTGTAGATTTGAAAATGTTTAATTTGTTAAAATCTAATGGTAGTAAATAATTTTTAGAATTTGAAAAATTTTAATTATATGTTGATTTTGATAGGATTGTTCACATTTAGGTTCGGACCGAAAAAACCGACCGAACCGAACCGTTAGGTCCAGACCAAACCCGGACCGAATGGATTTCAGGTCGGTCTTCGGTCCAAAAAAATTTAGACATTCGGGTTTCGGTCCGGTCCGGTCCAAACCCAAAATGATTTAGGTACGGACCGAATGACCCTAATGACCCTACTGGACCCAAAAGACCTAAATACTAAAACTCTACTTTTTAAGTTCCGTATTACACTTTGATTCTCTATTTTAATAGATATTTTAATTTATTTAATTAAAAAGGTTTTTATTAAGTAATTTTAAAAAAAAAATCTAAAAAAACCTTTTATATTTGTTTTTATGGTTCTTACATAAAAGTAGTTCATATTGTGTATCCATTTTAAGGTTGCCTGTTTTTTTTTCATTTTCTATTTGAATGGTACAAAGTAAAAATTCTAAAATATATTTAATTAATCAAAATAATTTAAAAATATGTATTTTTTTCGGTCCAATCGGTCCAGACCGGTTTGGTCCTAAATATTTCGGTCCGGTCCGGTCCAAACCCAAATAGATTTAGGTTCGGTCTTCAGTCCTTGAATTTACTCAATTCGGTCTTCGGTCCTGTCCAGTTCGGTCCGGTCTTGGACCGATAAACAACCCTAGATTTTGATAGATTTTGAGGTTATTTTTCTAAAGAAAAACTATCTCAAAAGTCTGTCACAACATTCAAATATTTTTACGAATTTGGCTCATCCCCTTCATTTTGTCGTTGTGGCTACGACGGTGGCTCTAGCCTGGGGGAAATACACAGAGGATGGTGGCGCTACTCTAGAGCTTCGACTGGCAAGGACAACAGTGGCCGGGGACATGCTGGAGGGGAGGAAGAAAAAGAAGGTGGAGAAGATCCAAAAGAAGTTGAGGAATAACATATCTGACGGGGGAGAAAGGCGGAGACGAAGAAGGAAGGAGGAGGAAAGGAAGAGGTGGAAGAAGAAGAAGAACAGAGATGGAGGAAAGAAGAAAAGGAGAAGAAGAAAGAGGACGAGGATGAGAAATAAGAAAGAAAGAAGATAAATGAGAAGAAGAATAAACGGAGGAAGAAAGAAGATTTAGGTGGAGAATCCGAGAAAGAAAGGAGAAAGGAAGAAAAAAAAGAATAAAGTAATCTATGGATAATAAATAATAAGACAAAATTCTATAAAATCTTGTTGAAAAATACATTAGAATCTTTTAATTATGCGTGGACTAAAAACAATTCATCGATTTTACATAATCCATAAATTTTGAATAATTTATCAAAATTTTATAAAATCTAAATTGAATACACCACTCTTAAAAAGCCAAAGTACAATTGCCAAGTCACTTACTTTGTAGGAAGAACAATAGGTGGGAAGCTGAATTGTCAAAAAAGTGCCAAATAAATAATCCACATGTCAAAATTCTAAGGGAGGACTCTCAAACATAGTTAAGCATATAGTTAAGGATATAAGGATTAATGATTTCTCATTTTTCATCTTTTTGTTATTCTAAAAGTATAATATTTGTTTTAACATTTTTTATTTTTCAACACTTTCCATCTTCAAACTTTTTGTAATTTTTTCTAGTTTTTTCGAGATACTTCCAGGTTTTTAGTTAATTTCTCCTACCTTTTTTTAGTTCTTTTTAGAAAACTTTTCTAGTTTTTTCAATTATTGATAAGTTTTTACAATTTTTTTAGTTTCTTCTAATTTCCAACTCTTCTTTTTCCAATCATGAAGAATAGACTCTAAATGGTAATGAAAAACATTTTCACAAACCTATTTAATGTAATAACAACAAAGCTTATAATAGTTTTAAAGTAGAGCCGTGTTATTGAAATCTTAATTAAAGTTCACATATGAAATAGAGAATGAGACTAAACGAGAAGTAAAATAAGGGGAAAATTCATAAACAAGAACTTCATGTTTTTATCCTAAAATAGAAGTCAATAATGTCAATAAATAATACCAAGAAGAATATAGTTGGATGACACTATACAATGTCATAATATCACAATGTAAACTCATATTTTAGGGATAAAAACATGAAACCTTTATTTTTAGGATAAGTATTTTCTTTTGCTCCTATTTGGGTAATTTCGTCATGAAATATAGATTTTCTCACATATTCGATATGCACTCAAAATTAGATTTTTTTGGCAAGACCAATACATATAATCATTTTATGTACTCTCTTCGTCCCAATTTAAAATGTATATTCCGGTTTAGAATATTTGAATGGAGTTATTTTCAATACAATTTATTAGAAAATTAGAACGGAATTTAAAAAATTGCATATTAAAAAACCACATCAAAAGCTCTACGAAACAAGATATTACATTACCATATTATTTTATCAAATGAGTAATGAAAACAGGAAAAGAAAGTGAATAAAGTTTAACCATGTGGATAATAAACAACAACTTAATTAATTTGGGACGAAGAGAGTATTAAGATTCATATTTTAAAACGAGAAATGATTGGTTCACAAACAAAGTGATCACAAATATCACAAATTTACCATTTGTATATTATTTTCCAACATTAAAATAGTCTTAGGTAATTTAAATCGTAAAAATATAATACAAAAATGATTAGCTTGTAATGTTTGTGACAATTTTTTTTGTGATTATAGCATTACTCTTTTAAAATCCAACACAAAATAAATGTTAATTACTTAATTTACTCACTCATATGAGTATTAAACACATAAATTAGCATCAAGATGTAACCATTTTAACCACACACTTTAATCATATTTTTTGCAAAATCGCATGCAAAACACGCAACTCGAAAAACTAAACTAAATACAAAAAGTGAAATTGGCTCAAAATACTCCGTAGCATTTAAGCATTGATGGTTTATCTAAGTAGCAGTGTAGCACTATTCATGTTTTTTCCTTTTATTAGCCCTCTTTTTAATCGATAGTACCCACGCTGCCCTTCTGACCTCTTCACCGTAACAAATTTAACATGGGGTCAATATTGTCATTTCAACATCCTCGGCCCGCGTAAATGAAAGACTACTTTTGCTAAAACTGATGTTATTTAAGGAATTGAAAATTGTTATAGTGCTATATAGATAATTTTTCCATACAAAAAACACGTTCCATATTCAAACACAAACCTCAACATATCTTCTTTCACGAATATTTTTTTATTTACTGTAATTTTTTTACTATCCCTGGTCATTAAAACATTTCATATACAAAAAAAACGCACCTTAAAATGTGTAATTTGGGTGTTATTTTCTAATTTTTACACTTATATTATAATAGAGTAGGATATGATGTGTAAAATATATGAATCATAATAAGAAAATAACACCAAGATTACATATTTTTAAGGTGTGTCTTTTTTAAGGGAAAAATGACTCATATATTTTACACATCATATCCTACTCTAATTTGGATATCCTACTCATATATTTTACACATCATATCCTACACATCATATATTTTACACATCATATTTTACTGACTCATCTTTTTTAAGGTGTGTAATTTGGGTGTTATTTTCTAATTTTTACACTTATATTATAATAGAGTAGGATATGATGTGTAAAATATATGAATCATAATAAGAAAATAACACCAAGATTACATATTTTTAAGGTGTGTCTTTTTTAAGGGAAAAATGACTAAAGCATGAGTAAAACTTTAAAAATCTACCAAAATAGGACTTCTATATTTTTATTTTCGAAATAGAAGTTGTTATCGAACATGGTCATGTACATTACCAAAAAATATGGTAATGTGCACATGTACAGTGTCACATTACAAGTATATTACCACAGTGTGGAGTTCTGTTTCATAAATAAAAATATGAAACTCTTATTTTAATATTTTTCTATGTTTTAATTCTATTTAAAGCGATTTCTACTTTCTTAAACTAGAAAAATTTTTTGGGACAGAGAGACTGTTATATTTTATCAAACATATTTTTAATATTTATATTTATAAACATACCCCGTATTTCATAAAAGTATTACTCCATTGCGTTTTCAAATGAATCCATTGAAACAAAATTATACGGAGTATGATATAACCAAATAGTTTTTCGTATATTAAGATTACAGTTTACAGACTTTAATTAAGGAATGTTAAATAAGAAAAAATTTCAGACAAAATTACTAACTGTTAGCGGGTATTTGTATTTGGTTTGTATTTAATTGTGTTGGGCCCACGTGTAACCTAGCCCATTATGTAGACGTGTATATATACGGTTTGTGTTAATGAATCAAACAGTTCAGTTTTCATTAAAATTCTACATGGTATATAGACTTTCAAACCCTAGCAGCGATCACCGCCGCTGCTCTCCCGATCGACATTTTTCTGGACGGACCAATTATTGATTTGTTTCAATACAAGAAATTATTGCTGCATCATTGTCATTATCCTCTTTTTTTGGAATTTGATATCGTGGGTTTGCAAAAAGGCTTGTCCCCCTTAATTTTGTTTGTTCGTACCGAGCTTCTTGGGATTTCCATCTGTGCGTCGAGTTGCTGTGTGTATGCTGATCGGCTGAGGGCAAATTCCTTTTGTTGATCTGCTGAATTTAGCCCGTGCTTTTTGAGGGGGAGTAATACAATCCGGCTGCTCTTTTGTATGTGCTGCTGCCCGGTGTTTTTATCAGTTGATTCTGCACATCTACTTCTGAAAAATTGCACGGTATGTCCCTTCTTGTGCCTTGTGAGTGGCTCGTGGATAGTGGTGCATCTCATCATATGACAGGGGTGCTTTCGTGTTTGACTGACATAGTGCAGAGGCCTCCTTGTACTATAAGCTTGCCCGATGGGGCTCATGTGGTGGCAAATTCTTGTGGTCGGGTGCAAGTGTCTCCTTCTTTAATTTTACATGATGTGCTTTATGTGCATAATTTAAAATGCAATCTTATCTCTGTGAGTTGTCTTGTCAACTCTCATAATTGTCAGGTTTTCTTTGATGACCAATGTTGTGTGATACAGGACCGAACTTCGAAGATGCAGATTGGATGATGTGAAGTGCGCAATGGAGTTTATGTCTTTCCTTCTTTCACCCGGGCATCCAAAGCCGAATCAGTCTCTCTTTTGCATCAGCGTCTTGGTCATCCATCACCTCAAGTTTTGTCTTTGCCTCCTTTTAATAAAAGTGCAGCTGAAATTAAAAATTTTCAGTCATGCGACATTTGTTTCTTTTCAAAGCAAACTCATTCTAGTTTTTTGTGAGTCTTAATAAAGCTGATGCCTTGTTTGATTTAATTCACTGTGATTTATGGGGGCCATATTCTCCGTGTTTGTCTACTGGTTCTCATTACTTTCTCACCATTGTTGATGATTAATCTAGAGCTGTTTGGGTTTTTCTTACTGTGGACAAAACTGAAGTTACTAGTTGTCTGAAATAGTTCTTCCAAATGATTCAAACCCAATTTGGAAAAGTTATAAAAATTGTACGCACAGATAATGGGACTGAATTTGTGAATAAACCCTTGCGTCAGTTTTACACAACCATGGGGGTACTGGTTCAAACGTCATGCGTTAACACCCCACAACAAAATGGGCGTGTGGAACGTAAATGTTAGACAAGGCGTGCAACTCTAGAGGGGGGGTGAATAGAGTTGTTGAGAACGATTACCGATTTTCGCAGGATTAAAAATATAAACGTAAGTGCAGCGGAAATAAAATAGAGAAGGCAAACTTGTGTGGCTACATATGACCAAGTGGTGGAGCACCGATCAGGTCAAGGGGCTCTCTGAGAGAGCTTCGATGGTGATGAAAGCAATTCGAATGCCCACGAATTGTTTGGCAAATGTTGAGCTCTTGAACTTAGGGTGTTCGGAGCTGTGTTGGCGAGCATCTATACGCCTCTACAAGACTTCACAACCAAGACTTAAGTTACATAAGTCTTATACAACAAGAAGAACAATCTTTTTCAACCTCTCAACATAAACTCTCAAAAGAGTAGAAATGAGAAATGATTAAAGCTCTAATGGATGACAAGAACACTCTCTTGAAAACACTCAGTTTTCTCTCAAAATATATTAATTTGAGGAAGAAATGAATGGAGGATTATCACCTCAAGAATGGGGAGTATTGGAGTGTTTCTTGTTAATAAAAATGACCAAGGAAGAGTGTTTAAATAGGAGGTGAAGAAATATATCCGTTGGTCCAAGAAAAGAAGCTCTGCAGAAAAGATGCAGCATAATAATCGATTAATGCATCACCATAATCGATTAATGCATCATAAAAATCGATTATGGCAGCTGAAAAAATCGATTAAAATTGCCAGAGCCAAATTCCTTCTGCGCAGAAAAGTGATAATCGATTAAAACCAAAGGTGTTAATCGATTAGTTCCTTCTGGATGCGATAATCGATTAATTCCAAAGGTAAAATCGATTATTGGAACAATAATGCCTAGACATGAAGGACACAAGCATGTGGGCGAGTAGGGAGGATAAAACGGAGCGTATACGTTTGTTTGAGACAACGGGAATAAGGGAAGGGCTCCTCCTCTCTTATTCAATGAATTTGAATAAGGGAGTAAAAGTGAGTCCAAAAACTATTTTGTGTGTCAAACGATGTACACAGAAAAATTTGAATAAAATATTTTTACTTACCAAAAATATTTTATAATATCAAAATAAATATTTGAATAAAATATTTTTGCTTTCCAAAAATTATTTTCTAATATCAAAAATAACTATTTTGATAAATGTTTGACACACCTTTTTGTAACTGACTCAATAAATGTATTTTGAACAGTTAAAAGGATTTTTCAACTGACTCCAAAAAATAAATATAATTTTTATTTTAACACTCATAAAAATAATTTTGGAGAGAAGATATTTTTGTCATCCTTACAAATATTCCTACGACTCAAATAAATAAAAGTCTTCGGAAATCTTCTACTCCTCCGAGTCCTCCGTTAGGCGCTTCGAAAGCGTCTTGGACTCCAATAAAATCCTGTGCACCTTCTTGAATACTTCAAGGAATGGCACTTCAAGTCTTCGTGTTTGTCGTTGTAGCACTTTGATCTTGACTTGAATAAATTGTGTTTGTCAAATATCAAAACCTGTGAGTCAACACTTAACAACACAGAAAGGGTTGAACTCATGCATTCCAACAGTAAACACAGACATATCCTTAATGTCGCCCGTTCTTTAATGTTTCAAGCTTCTTTGCCTCTTGAATTTTGAGGTGAATGTGTGCGTACAGCTGTGTATCTTATTAATCGTACCCCTACTCCTCTCCTCCAGGGTAAATCACCCTTTGAACTCCTTTCTTCAAAACCTCCAGACTTGTCTCTTTTAAGGGTATTTGGGTGTTTATGTTATGTACGTCTCAACCCTCGTCCGCAAAATAAATTTCACCCCCGTAGTCTTAAATGTATGTTTGTGGGATATCCTACGGGCAGTGGCGGATCCAGGATTGTGAATGACTGGGGGCAGTATAGCAAAGCGGGGGTTCGGGGGCAGAGCCCCCAATTTTTTTTTTAAAATGTACTTTATATCATGATGAAAAAATTAATTTTGTATCAAACAAATTTAAAATAAGAAAAACAAAATATTTTAAAATTAGTAAAATTATACTCCATCCGTCCCAATTTAATTTATAGCGCCTGTTTCAGTTTACGATGTTTGATTGAAAATCATGGCCACGCGGTTGACACGGTCCTCTAATCAAATATTTTCTTCTTATTTCATCTCATTGATTAGGGTGATACTCTAAAATCTTTTTCTGTCTGAAGGATCCACGGAAGATCACTTAAATCTATTTCTTTAACTATTGAAGGTACAAATGGTCCAGTATCATGTGTTGTCGGTGTTGAGGGGGGACTTCCGTTTAAAAAACTTCTCCATTATCTAAAAACATAAAATGAAATATACTTTTTTACTAAATCTATGTCCAAAAATTAGAGAAAATTATTTAAATATTTCAATTGAGAATTAATATATTTTTAGAGACTAGAGTCATCAATTCATATGTTTTGGGACAATTATAAATTATAATTAATAATAATCAAGAATTCAACATTAGAAACAATTTCATCAAATAGAAAATTGAAATATAAAAACAAATTATTCAAAAGGTTTCACAAATTACACATAAATCTAATTTCCAGATTTACCTAATTATTTAGTTCACAATTTAAAAAAGGAGACAAAATTATTTGGAAATACCTGGTGCCTGGTAGCTGGTGCTCGACTGCTCGGTGCTGCTCGGCGGCGGCGCGGCAGACGAGCGACGGCGACACGACAGACTGTTCAGGCTGTTCGGCAATAAGCAGAATCGGTCTTCAATTGCTCCGCTCCTCTTCTCGATTTCTCCAAAAGCAAAGGGAATGGGGGAAATTCTTTTTAATTTTTGGGAATTTGGATTGGGCTAATTTTGGATGGGTCTCTAGCCTATTTAATTGTTTTGGGCCAGTGGGGCCAGATTTTTTTTTAATTGGGGGCAATTATATATAACATTAAAAATATACATATATATATATATACTAAAAAAAATTTCACTGGGGGCAGCTGCCCCCATATGCAATGTTGTAGATCCGCCCCTGCCTATGGGGACTAAGGGTTGGCGTGTCTATGACCTTGAATCCCATCAGTTTTTCTATACCCGGGACGTTTCGTTTGACGAAACGGTTTTTCCGTTTGCATTGTCTTCTAAATCACCCACGCCTCCCGTCGTCGAGTCCACCACCCATGCCGATTTCCCGACCACCGCACCCACTGCCGAACCCAGTCCCACCGTCTCACTGATACCTACGGCGTCCCCGTCATCCTCCGGGCAGTCTTCTCCTCATTCCCATAGCGACGGCGAGTCTGACCCGGACAGTCCGCCGTCGCCTGTCGTCCCACTCGTGATCGGCGACCTTCTGCACGGTTGTCCGATTACTACTGTCATACCGCCCGGACGTCTACTCCCATTGTTCCTCACATTGTCTCGTCTAAATCTTCAGGTACGCGATATCCTATCCACAATTTTGTTCATTATGAGAAATTACATGACAGGTACCGGGGATATTTGGCTGCTATGACTTCGTGTGAGGTTCCAACGTCTTTCAAGCAGGCCAAGCAACATGATAATTGGAGGAAGGCTATGCAACAGGAGATTACTGCGTTGGAAAATAATCACACATGGGACGTTACTGAACTTCCCCCGATCGGACGGCTCTTGGGTGTCAGTGGATTTACAGTACCAAGTTTCACTCGGATGGAACAAAGGAGCGTGATAAAGCTCGCCTGGTTGTTTTAGGGAATCATCAGGAGTTTGGTAGAGATTACACAGATACTTTTGCTCCCGTAGCAAAGATGGGGACGGTACGTATTTTATTATCTGTTGCTGTTGCACGCGGTTGGGAGATTCATCAGTTGGATGTTAATAATGCATTTTTAAATGGTGATCTGATCGACGAGGTGTATATGCGAATGCCTCCTGGTTTTTCTATCCCCGGCAAAGTTTGTCGTCTTCGGAAATCTTTATATGGGCTTCGTCAATCTCCACGTAATTGGTTCCATAAACTTAGCACTGCCCTTCGTTAGTGGGGGTTTAAACAGGCTCATAAGGATCATACTCTGTTTATTCTTCATAAGGGCCCCGATATTCTTACAGTCCTAGTATATGTTGATGATATTTTGGTTGCAGGCAATAATCCCTCTTTATGCACCTCTTTTAAACAATATTTGGACAGGTGTTTTCAACTCAAAGATTTGGGTCTGGTCAAATATTTTTTGGGGATTGAATGTGCCCGTTCTGCATCGGGTATGGTTTTGTGTCAGCGAAAATATGCACTGGAGATTTTACAGGAGGCCGGTCTGTTGGGTTGTAAGCCGGCTGACACGCCGTTACCCACAACGCACACACTGGGCACGTCGACCGCAGCAGTTCTACATGACCCGGCGCGGTACCGCCGTCTTGTGGGTCGTTTGATTTATCTCACCATCACTCGGCCGGATATTTGTTATTCTGTCCATGTCTTATCTCAGTATATGCAGGCCCCTACTCTGGATCACATGAATGCAGCCATGCGTGTCCTTCGCTACATCAAAGGTCATCCGGGTCAGGGCATTTTTCTCAGTGCTAACAGCAATTTACAAATTTCTGCCTATTGTGACTCTGATTGGGCCAGTTGCCCCAGGTCCCGTCGGTCTGTTAGCGAGTATTTTATCATGTTAGGAACCTCTCCGGTATCCTGGAAGACAAAAAAAGCATACCATTGTTGTTAGATCGTCTGCAGAGGCAGAGTACAGAGCTATGACAAATGCTTGTGTGGAAGTCCGTTGGATGCGAGGAATTCTACTAGCCTTGGGAGTTCCTATTTTATATCCTCCCCGATTATATTGTGACAACCAATCCGCTTTATATATTGCAGCTAATCCTGTTTTTCATGAACGAATGAAGCATGTGGATGTTGATTGTCACACAGTTCGAGAAAGTGTCCAGCGGCATGAGGTGTCGACACGATGTGTTCCTACTCGATACCAGTTGGCCGATATTTTTACTAAGCCGTTGGGCAAACCTAGTTTTGATTTTTTATTGTGCAAGTTGGGCATTCAGGATCTTCATGCGCCAACTTGAGGGGGAGTGTTAGCAGGTATTTGTATTTGGTTTGTATTTAATTTTATTGGGCCCACGTGTAAGCTAGCCCGTTATGTAGACGTGTATATATACGGTTTGTGTTAATGAATCAAACAGTTCAGTTTTCATTAAAATTCTACACTAACTAATTTATGTATAATCACTAAATTTCGATTTGGTCGTTGTAATGGATTTTGCTCATGTAATTAGTCTTAGATCACTTTAGATTTTGATTTGACCACCTTAATTGATTCGTAACGGTTTTTGTTCCGATTAGGTTCTTCGTAAGTGACAACATCGAATCGGATCTCCGTAAAAATAACATTAGTCTAATCGAATTGACTTGTTTTTTTCTTGCACGTGCCTTTTTAGGAAATATCAGTTGTAGTTTTTTTTCGAGGACATATATTAGCTCTAGTTATACTTAAAATACTTACTCCTTGCTTCAAAAACAAAAAGTACTTACTCCCTATAAATTCATTATTTTTTAGTTGGTATATGTTCAATCTTATAATCATCTTTTAAGCGCAAAAATAGGATGCAAACACTAGATGCGAAGAAACTTAAGATGACTTCTTCTTATCACTACGCCAACATGTTTTCACAAAATTTTACTATTAAATTTTAATAAAAATCTAGGTTTCTTTACTAGAGTTCCTAAATATTTTAACCATTAATAACTATAATTATGTGCAGAGTATAAATTAAAAATATAAAAATTATCCTCTCCGTTCTAATTTACGTTGCCCGTACTTATGGCTTACGATGTTTGGCTTAAATTATTTTTCATTTTTTTTTTGAAAATTGGTGTTGAATTAAAAAGTAAAATTTATATATTTACAAAGCATATAAAAAAGTCCACAAAATAAGAGGTAAAATGAATATATTATTTTATCAAACCAGTTACGAAAATAGGTAAAAGAAAGTTTTTAAAACTTGATTATGTAAATACCGAGTAGGAAACATGCAAAATAAATTAGAACGGAGAGTAAAATCTAGAACTACATTTTAAAACAATTCTAATGATATTAAGTTTACCGTATAACTCAATATATGTTTTATGTTATCTATGGTAGGGGTGTAAACGAACCGAATCGAAGCGAATACCGATATACTCCCTCCGTCCTATAATGATCTTCCCAGAGCACTATTCCAACTTCACGGGAATTTATATTTATTTGTGTTTTTTCATGGCCTATATGATAAAATAAAATATTCTTGTCACCACTTGTTTTGTTGAACTTTTGGTGTAGTTTTAAATATGTATGTTTTATTTTTTATTTCTATACCAATATTTAAATAAAATAGATTGAAAAAACTTGGGATTTTTCTTCGTTTTGCGAACCGGGAAGATCATTATAGGACGGAGGGAGTATTTGAATTTGTATTTATTTAATTTTTTTGAATACGAATCCGAATCCAAATATGAGACGAATTCAAAATAAGATTTGAATAAGCATTTGATTAATATTCGAATAGTTATCGAATCATAAACGAATATTTGAATAATCATACTATGTAATTTATATGATGGACCAACATCAATTTGTAATTTAACTTACGATACTCTTTATACTATACTATATTCCGTATATAAAAACATTAATACATTTGCATCTTACACAAATTATATTTTATAAAATATACGGAGTAACTATTAAAAATCATATGCTTTAGATTTTCGTGTTACGTTAATTTATTGAATTCTTAGTATTTTAAATACAATTTATACTATATTACTTTGCTTGACTTTTGATGTTGAAAACATGGTCTGTGTATATATACATATATTCGAATGTCATCCGAATCGAATATATCCCTATTTGTATTTGTATTTGATTAATATTCGAATCAAAAATAATTTTTGAATTTGAATTTGTATTTGAATAACGCGAATTCGAATCATCATATTCGAATACAAATCGTGAATCGAATTTAAAATATTTGATTTGTTTACATCCCTAATCTATGGCCAAAATTTAGACAGTTTGACAAGAAAATTCAAACTGGAGAAACTACTTCAGAACAGAGGAAGTATACTTCTTTGGTAATTTAGGAAAAAAAGATCAAAGATACTGGTACAAAAAGAAAATATTATGTCAAATAATAATAAGGGACAATAGAAAAACCATCAAAATATTATGGCATTCTTGATTCACCATTCCCTTCAACAACAGCTGATTCCATGTCCTTTGCACCCTCCTCTTCCTCCTCCCTTTCTTGTGTTACTTTTTGCATGTCTTTGTTCTTTCCCCACAGCAGAAAGTACAGCCCAGTTATTACAATGACTGACCCTATTATACTGCCATCATCAAGGGGCAATAATGAGATTGGTTAATTCATCATTTTCTAAACATGTCCAAGAAAAGAACTCAACCCAAAGCTCAAGTTTATGGTTTAGACCCAAGAAAGGCTTTTTATATTCTAACAGAAACAGATAAAGATCACCTCCCGAGATGGAGTTGTTCATGGAGAACTGGGATGTCTACCATGGCAGCCATCACCTGCACCAGAGGGCTGAACGCCGCTGTGAAGACCGGGCCCCGCTTCTTCACGCACCATGACATTCCCACGAAACACAGACCCGAACTCACCAACCCCTGCAATCAAAATCCATTCTTTCATATTTAGGGGAAAGATCTCACAGAGAGAAGAAGAAGAAGAAGAAGAAGAAGAAGAAGAAGCAGGTGGACCCTACAGTGTATGTGACATTGACCATGTCAATCTTCTTCTTTGGGATCCAAATGGAAAGGCTTCTGTCAGTGCACAAAGTGAGGACAGCAGACTGAATGGCACTAAAGAAGTTCATGATGACAGTGCTGGAGTACTGGCAAGGGTAACTTTTGGAAATGTTGGATTGGATAAGGAACCAAGAGGACCAAAATATTGTCCCGGCGAACATTGCCAGCGAACCGAATACCCATCTTTCTGCCCGGGGCCTAACGGTTTTCCCAGCAGAACGACTTAAGGTGGGTTCAGAGGGATGGAATTTAACCACAGGCATGCCTTTGTAGAATGTCAGTAGAAGGGCACCTCCAAGGCATGTCACTATCCCAATCACTTTTGCTCTTCCACTCCTGCTTCTGATGCTTATTTTCTCCAACCTGTGACATGACCAATGACTCAAAAAGGTGTTTCTTTAAGGTAAGCTGTTCTTACATGGGAACAATGTTGCAGGTGGGTATTTGAAATGGGATTTGCGTACCCGAATGGCAATGCCATTAGAAATGTGATGACAGGAACAATGTTCAGAAAGGCACAAGCATAAGTTGCAGAAGTGTACTCTACACCAACAAGGAACAAGTATTGAGTAACCGATGCCCTGAAAAAAAAATTCCAAACACGGCATTAGCCGAGTACAATAAGCAGGTTTTTCTATGCCATGGAAGTGATGCACAACCGCTTACCCAACAATCGCGGACAAGAAAAGGTTGCAGAGAATGCGCAGAGTGAGTTTTGGTCTGGTGTTCCTGCAAGAGATTTCACAAGAAAAATGTTCACAAAGAGCAAGGCAAAATGAATCAAAGCAAGCATAGTTACTTGCGTACCGTTCGACAAAGAAGGCAATTGGGGTTAAAAATATAGTCGAAATTGCCTGCCGATAAGTGATGAAAACTAAATGGTTCATCCCATCAATGATGAGTTTCTTGAGAAGAACATTTGTGACTGCAAAGGCAAGCTGAATTACCAGCATAAGCATAAAAGGGTACCAAGCCACACAACTCTTCATCTGTGTGTGTGTGTGTGTCTTGGGGTCTTAGCAAAAGCTATACTCTTCTGCTTAAGAAACAGTGAGAGGCTAAACCAGGCTTTGGAAGCTCTATTATAGATTTTTGCTCAAGTGGGGGGAAAAAAGAGTGACTGGTGAGGAGCACTGTTACCCTTATCTGTGGCTGATGTGGTATTAAATTCTTCCAATCACAGCCATCAGTTTAAACATCAAAGACTCAACCTTTTTTGCATTCTTTTTGAAGTCCCACCTAATTTTCTCCCAAATGACAGATGGGAAATTGTGCTATAATCATAAATTTTTCAGGGTTAATGTCTTCTGGGATTGACCCTCGAACCGCGGTCCGGGTGGTGTCGAATTCCCATTGGCTCTTGCAGATTGGCTGCTTGCAGACCATTTAACATGTCAGGCAATAACTTCAACATACCCATCATTCTAAAGGGGAAATTAATGATGGTCTTAAAGGAGGCATCTTGTGAGTGGGAGACAAAACGCAAACCAACTGCATCCCACCCTCATGTCTAATACACAGCATCTAACACTTGATTTAACACTACTTTTTCCTATTTTAAGCACTGTGTAGCATCTAATGCTGCTTGAGCAATGAATAGTAAAAGCATCTTCATGGGAGGACACAAGAACACAGAACAATGCATCATTTCTCTCCTATGAGCCTATAGGGGCATACAGAAATTCAAGTAACAGTAGCCATCCATCTGCTACTGTCCTCATCATCTCTCTTTACTTTTATACATCCCAGGAACTTAAAGTGGTAGATAACTCAACAACAGTAATCATGAACTTTAGGAAAAGAATCACTAATGCTCTATATCAAAGAATTGAAATTTTCTCACATGGGCAAAATGAGAATTTGGAATGAGGCTGAGAGGGTATGAGTTTAAGTACGATGGATCGAGACCCGTTGTTCGGTTTGTATTGGAAAAATGAAATTAAGCTTGGGTTCATGTCAAAAGGTGGAGGCATGGCTGCTTTGGGATGAGCCTCCAGTCTTTGTCTTCTGGAATCTCTGGTTTGTTGCAGAAGAAACAAAGAAGCAACATAGGAATGAGTTCAATTAGGGATGGAGTTCAGGGAATGAGTCTGGAAGTAGTGGATTTGGCATTCCCAAACTTCTACCTGCTACACTAAGCCCTTTTTTGCACCTTCAAATTGTAACAAAAAGATACTTCATCTTCAAATTGTAACGAAAAAGTATCTCATCTTTTAAAAATGTAACAAAAAGGTACTCTTTGCCAGAATTTCAAGAATCCGGCCAGCAAGCGTACATGTGGTGTTGTACTTAGCTTTCTGTTGAACATGTCACATTCCATATGACTTCCAAATTGACTTGTAATTTATCTAATACTTGATTAACTTTGTATTTAACACATAATTCAAATTTTTTTCTTGTAATGAAAATACGGAGGATATATTATGGAGAAAATTTTAATTTTATTTTTAAATCGTGCTTTCTATAAGATCTTACTTTTAATTTTAGCATTTTGAAAAAATTATACTACCTCCGTCCCAGAGTATTTGTCCACTTTCATTTTTACACATCATCCAATACACTTCTTTAACCCATTTTATCTTGTAATTTGTATATTAAAAAATTATAGAAATTATATATTAATAATCTATATGTTAAGACAAATCAAACAAGATCACACATGACTATATTTAGGCTTACACATGGAGAGAATTTGATGAGTCAAAGTGCTTAGATGAATAGTTCCAAAAGTCAAAACTGGACGAATACTCCGGGACGGAGGGAGTAATTTATAAGATACTTCATATTTTAAACATAGCAATAACTTTTAGTAATTGTCTATAATATATTTTTATAGATTTATTAGAAATTTTTTAAATTTAAATTCTAAAAAATACGTATTATTATTATTACTACTACTACTTCGGTCATCATCATTATCGAGTATTATTGATACGGTTGTAATGAGTTTTTATAAGTTATCTAAGTATATTTTAGAAAAGACGTTTATGCAACGTCGTGTTTATTTATCTATTAAAATTCTAACTCCAAAAGATTGTAGATATTTTAAAATTTAAATAAATAAGAAACGTTGCCTTTTAAATTACAATAAAGAGAAATATTCAAAAAGTAATTGCTAGTTTGGTTTAAAATATTTTGTAAATATAAAAATATGATATTGTTGTATACAGAAAATATAATTTTTAAAAAAATTAGAACATCATGTACAAAGTTAATAACGTATATGAGAAGTTACAAATTAATTTGGAAGTCATATGGAATGTAACATGTACACCAGAAAGCTAAGTAGAACGTCACATGGACGCTCGCCAGCCACATCTTTGATATTCCGGCATGGGGTACCTTTTTGTTATATTTTTTAAGGATGAAGTACCTTTTCGTTAAGAGTTTAAGATAGAGTACTTTTTTGTTACAAAATGCAAAGATGGGGTACCGTCCATGAAAAAAAGCCGCTAGACTAATACCCATTCATAAATGAACCAGACAGACCCTTGGCTATTCTCAAAAAAAAAAAATCAATTGCCAATGAAAAAGACATTAATGCCTTTGTTGTTGAAGCATCAGAAGGACTCATTTTGTTTTGCACTTGATGGCCTGCAAGCATTCTTTTTAATAATATCCCACCCACACTCTCAAATATGCTTTCCTTGTGCTCTTAACTTCAATTGAACAGCAGAAAAACTGATACCCAAAACTATCCTCTTTCTTTCCAAATAAACTTTAATGGCCAAAACTGATCTCTTTCTGGCCATTTGCATGTATCAGTCTGAACTTTTGTCGCCGTCTTCCCTCGGTTCCATTACAAGCAACTCCATAGTTCATAACTTCATATACATTTTGTTTAGTGGGGAATTAGATCAGAAGTTCACAACAGTACTGAGTATATATGGGAATGTCAACTCAAACATGGTACAGTTTAATTTTTAAAGAAATATACTATTAAGAACATAAGGAACTTTCAGAAAGAAGAATCTGTTTTTGGAAACAAGATAATCTTCACATGCTAATAAGCACAAATTCCTAGTCATCATCTTGCTGTGTATATGAGTAAATATGACCGTACAACTTCACCAAAATAACCACAGCATCTTTCAATACAATGAAAGTTAAAAGAGTGGCCAAAAAACTAAACGTTGTAAAATACTTTAGTCGTTCCTTTCCTGGTCCGAATTTGAGAAACCTGAAACACATTTAAGGACAAAACTCAGTTTGTAATAGTGATGTCATTCAATGTCACTTGGCTAGAAGTACATGTCATCAAGGGAAAGGTGCAGTTCAAGTCAGAATACAACAACTCAGTATAATCCCAACTCCATTGAGGTCTGAGGGGTCATGAAGATGTATGGAACCTTACCCCTGTAAAAACAGAGAGACTGTTCCGTTGAACCCTAAATGCATTGCTGCATTTACTGCCCTAAACTCAATGAAAGTAAGAAACAATGGCAGTTTAATGTGCAGTTCATGTCATAATGAAAAGGTATATTTAAGAGAAATTTACCTAAATAGGACTAAAACATAATGACTTTCCCAATATAGGACCATATGTTTTTATTAACCAATGTAGGATCTTTGGTCATTATCAAGTAGTCATTATTCAACTAAATGTCCATCATTGCTGGACATTATTCCTTCCACTAGGTCATTATTAAGTCTTATTTAGAGAATAAAAAAGTTTAAGTCCTATATTAGGAAAGTCATTATGTTTTATTCATATTTAGTGCAAATTTCACTATANTTCTCTTAGTACTCCGGAGGCCCAAGCTTCCAACAACATATGAGCGCTATAAAGTGGATACCATACCTTGAAGCTGATGATCTCAGAAACATCAGAAACATGTGTGCCCCCACAGGGGCATCCGGGGTACTCCCCAAACTTCACAATCCGAGGAGTGCTTTCCTGCACCATACAGAGTAGGAAACAGTAGGTTTATATCTAAGGACTGGAAGTTCGGCATGTTTGGAGAACCTCAAAGTTAAAAAAAAAAACAAAAACTAACTTTGGGAATATAGTCCGGGATATTTCCACCACACAGTTTGCATGCCTCTTCATATGAACAAATCGAAGCCAAAACCTGAAAAGATTTGAAGTGAGAAAAAAGTGCAAAATTAAGTAGCACCTATACTATTAGCAGGGAGAAGCATACTTTTCCTCCGGCGGAAATGAGGTTACCAGCTTCTGCTTCCAGCTCCTTTTTCTTAATTTCAAGTTCATTTTGTGGGACGGTTCCTCTGTACTCTACATATGGCCTAAACAATCAGTGGGTTAAATGTTGAAGATAAGTCACAAAGAGAAACAATTCACATCCGTTTTATTTCAGGATGTTCCGTGAAAATATAAAAAGGGTACGATGATTGGTCCTTGACGATTGAGAAATTTTGTAAACGCATAATAAATGCACCTAATGCATTATTACTTCATATGTAACAAAACACGAAAATGAAACATGGATTCATTTAAATGGTCTTAGAGGTTATACCCATCAGGGAAATGGTAGGCTTTTAGTGGCTTTAAGAGGTTACCCCATCCGACGTTAGCGATACAGATATCCAGAAGATGTCCAGCTGAGTGCAACCTACACAAAGAGAAATAATAAATACTACGTATCACCCAAAGTGAAGGGGGGCCTCGGCACATGGTGCTGTCGTGCGACAATGAGGTCACCGGTTTCAGTGCTGGAGTAGTCTCTTGCAAAAATACAAGATTTGCGTAAAACACGCCCTTATGGTGGAACCTATCCCCAATCCACCAGCCCTCTTACTCCATCTGTCTCAAAATAAAATTTGTACCGTGTTTTCCAATTAAAGAATATATGGCTCCCATTATTTCTCTCTTCTAAATAAACTTCAACCACACTCTTTTTCACTTTTCAAGACTGTACTTAAATTCCGTATACACAAACCATAAACTTCTTTTTGAGACGGAGAGGGTAAAACATTACATAGAGAAACACTCAAACTGGGCCTAATTCAAATCATCATGTCATTGAAGTGCTCTTGAAAACACACATACCAGTAAGCTAAAATATTATTTTGCTGAAAGTTCTCTCTCAAACAGCCCCTTTACCTCATGGGAGAGAAAGTCTGCATACATCTAGCACCCCGGCCATACGCTTGAGTCGGATACACTACTCACAAGTTACAACATTCCATCCAAAAATGATACGGAGTATGAAAAATGATTTACTAGATAGAGCTTTATACCTGGTGTTGAGCATCCGCCTTGGCTCATCCACAGATAGTGAAACTTCAACACCTTTTTCAAGCATACAATTCAACTCCATATCTCCAGAATTGTCAAAAACCCCATAGTGAAAAACCTGTCACCATCATAAAACTTATGGGATTAGAGTAAAAAACTCAGCCCTGTAAATCTAAAATTGACGCAAAAAATTTTTGTAAAAATATAAAAATAAATGAAATTTCTCGTAGAGGCAAGACCTAGAAACATACAATCCGATCCCTGGATCTAACATCTTGGACCAAAAATTTGAGGTTCGAAGTGCAGATGAAACCAGTGTCTGCTGGTTGGCCTCCACCTTGCGGGTGAAAAATTGTGGAGTCAAGAATCACCGCATCTCTACCATCTTCACCCTTTATCATAGAAAACGCTCAAAGTTACCGTTTTTATAAACACTCATTGTAAATTTTCATGATTGAAAAAGTCTCTGAATCTTTTCCGATCATTTTCCATTCATGTAGGTTAAAAAATTAAAGAAAAAATCGATTAATAATTTTTACCTTGATGAAAATGCTGTTTTAATTAATAAAAAATATTTTTCCTCAAAATAAATAAATAAATACGGAGTAAGAAGTAAATAATAGCGTAATTTTCATTTTCGAAGAAATATTCCCAATTTTTTTTTTAAATCCTACTTCTTACTCGAAAGGAAGAAAGAACGGTAGAAGTAGATTGAAGCTTAGACATGTTGTCATAGTATTCCAGCTTCGTAGGCGGCAGATTTTGCTCCATACTGCCTTGTTCCTGAGTAATTTGAAGCAATTCTACCTTTTTTGTCCCAACCCTAATGTCGTTAAGACGAGGCTTGATGGCTCTCATCGCCCCATAAGCGAATGGATTCCTGTCAAGTGTGACTGGGTTGGCAAGGTAAGAAATGCGAATGGATTCTTTGTTATTATCAATTTAAAATCAAATTTCAATTTACCTCCTCAGAGATTGTTCGGCCAAGTCTGAGGGAGCTCTGGGGGACTCATCCTTTTTCTGCGAATGGATTCCTGTCATCAACTCATTTCAGGGGGCGTTGGGTAGGTAGAGAGTGCAACGGGCAAACTCGAGTTCGCTTTCTGACAATTACACTGGGAGGTAACTATGATAAATGTACAGTCTCTGCCGTAATATATATTGTACAATCGGTTGTACGGTATTTCCGGTACATCTTCAGTAAGTACTCACTTACGAGTAACTGAATGCTCATTTTCGAGTAATTGAATACTCATTCTCGAGTAACTAAATGCTCATTTTTCTAAAAATTCAATTATGTTTGCAAATAAGAATTTAGTTAGTCGAAAATGAGTACTTTATTACTCGAAAATGAGTACTTCATTATTCAAAAATGAGTAATCAAGTGGATGTACGTGAAATATCATACATCTGAATGTATGGTATAAGTACTCGGGTCTCTGCAAACACCAGGTGTAAGCTCCACTCCATACCCCCAATCTCTGATTAAAATCTACTAATTTACCTACTTTCAGTGACCGTCTGATCGAATCTAAGGGGGGCCTCAGGAAATGAGGCTCATCCTCTTTGTGAGTAGATATTGGAAAAGAGTAAAATAGGTATGTTGTGTAGTTTGAAAGGACAATGTGACTAAAATATTTAGTTGAAAAAATATAGTAATGAAATCTCTTATTTTATAAAATATTTAATATTATTTTTAAATATATGATTTTTAAGTTTATTTGACACCAATATTTAAATAAATTCAATGAAAAATGTTTTAATCAAACATTATAAACTGAAATGAGAAAAAAACGTGACAAGGGAGTAGTTTTTATAGCCTAATGCACGACATGTTAGATGTTGATAAAACATCTCACAAACAGGACCAGAAACATTCTGCCATTGCTCCTCACGTTGGTGGTGTCGCGGCAATCACATCGTTATAAGGCGTGACGATCAGTGATCAAGCTTGGGTCACGCCCTGAAACACATATAATCCAATGGTGACGTACTTCCAAGTTCAAATGTATACCTCTATAAGTAGAGATGTGTTGATTTGGATCTGGATCGATGTGAGACTCGGTCAAAACTACACTGAACTAGTTTTTTTAATTTCTTTCACAAAACAAAAAGATGAATTCTATGTTCGAGAGGCCCTCAAAACCAGCCGTATGGTTACCTGCAAAGAGAATATAGAAGGATGAACTCTTCAAGAGTGAAGATTTAAAGAGGTATAACCAAAAAAAAAAGAAAAAGAAAAGAGGTGTAACCCCTATCACACAAAATTCCAATAAACACAAAGTACATAGTTGCATAATATACTGAAAATATCTTTGACACAAATTTGAAACTATTTCCTGAGTTATAAAATTTATTGAATTTTAATTTGGTAATAAAAATATTTTTACACGCCAACGAAATACTACAATTTTGGATAAAATCATAAATTTATAACACTTTCTGAACTTTCCAAACACTTTCCTTTCTCAAGAGGAAGTCCATCTCCAAGGCCATCTGAATAGCCACTTTCTTTTCTCTATTTAATGGTAGCCCTATAAGTTATTAATGCATTTTAATAATATTTTATATAAGATATTGAGATAATTTGTTTTTAAAAAAATTAATTTAAATTTACAGAAAACTTTTTGAAATATTAAAAAAAAAATATGTACCACAAAATCTGATTGAAGGAAAAAATTAATAGTTTGAAAAAACTTACCATTGTAAACCGATTATTTATTTTTTCTTTTTTTCTTTTCAATATTTTATTATTTTCTTTTTCTCTTTCCTTCTTTCCCAACTTTGAAATCTAAAATTAAAATGTTTTGAGAGATTTAAAATTATGACGGGAGTAACCGCAATATGGGTGGTTGGCAATGGCCGGTGGTGAGGGTTGTTGAGGTTAAGAAAAATATCAAACTTCCATATTGATAACTCCCAATTTCATGAGATATCAAAATCCTATATTTGGAGAATTTGTAAAATCTAGAGATATCAAATTCGAATTCTTTTTATGTCTCACAAAACACCAAAAAAAATATGGTATCAATTATCAAGAGAGACAAAAGCATATCTCTTACGCTCACCAAACGAACTCGGTAAACATATGCACAACCTCACTAGAATCAATAAAATATAAAGATGGAGAATTGGAGAGTGCAACACAAGGCTTGAGATTTGAGATTACAAAATTGACTCTTTTCTTTAGGATGTTAATATAGGCTGGGTACATTAAGCAACCACCTTGGCAACGCTTAAACGATTACAAAAAAAATCAAAAATGCTAGAACAATACCAACTTTGATACTACGGATGACAACTCTCTTGTAAATTTTAACACAAGATATAATCGTCTCGTAAGTGAACACTTTTACAAATTTACAAACCAGTGTATCTGTGGTGTCAAAATCGGTGTCATTCTATCATGGCCTACAAATAATGCCCATGCAAATGGTAAATACTGCAACCAAGATTGGAGGGTTTGAGCACAAGAACTAGTTACCTAATAAGTTAATGTCAGGAATAATACAAGCAAAACCAAGAAAAATGAAAGATAGTCGGTAGTTCAGGGTTTTTTTTCCTCTCAGAAAACAGGTTTCAAAGAAAATGTTAGAGAGATCAATACTCCAATAGCTAAAAACCAGTTCATAATCATAATAATAATAGTACCAATCAAATCATACAGAACACAACTAATGCATGACGAACCATATCAAGATAGCACAAATCTACTCCGACTCATTCGTCGCATTGGGCTCTTCTTTGGTCTTCAAAGCAGGTGATGGTGATGGGGATCCGTCCTGGCCCATTTCTCCCCTCAGCTCGTTTATGCTCTGCTCCAATTCATTAATCCGCTCGCCCATCTCGTCAAGTGCGACATTGTCAAGGACAAAACTTTCAAGCAAAATGCAAGGTGGTCTTGAGCATTATACAATAAAAGAGACAACATTCAACGTGATGCCTTTCTCCCAACCACTAAAATAATGCAAAATAACCAGCCAAACATGATTTTAAAGTCATTCATGAATGTTATTTTTCTTTTCTCACAAATGGAAGAAATATTCATGATAGTGTGCATGGGAAATGCAAAGAATAGTTGCTCAATGAAATACTCATGTTTTGCATTATTTGATGCTTTAAGATATAGCAAAAGAGTCGAGGAGAATTTAATAAAGGTTAGTCTTATTGGCCTAGTCTTAAGTCTTTTATAGAACTGGGAGTATTAAATAAAATCTTAAATCCCCGTTTGGTTCACCTAGTAATGATGAATATCATGTATGGATTTGGGAATTGCAAACTCATACCTTGAGTTTTGTTACCAAGCCCTCCAAACTCCCCTCAAACCCATTCCCTAGACCCACACCCCCCCTGGTATCAAACTTATTATTGCAGTGTTGCTTATTTGGTCACTTTTGTAACAACCAAAGGTGGCAAGGAGACTATGTTGGCAACACTAAGAAGAAGACAATTGGAGCTTCAACCTAAAGCGATCGGGCCTCCATCTTCTGATGAGAACTAAACCCTACTTTTATTCCTCAATACAAACCAAATACTAAATTTCACTCTATCATATCTGAACCCGATTTATGAATTTGACCAAAGGGACCCCTATTGTATCTATCAGATGTATCAAATTAATAGCGCTAGAATGGGAGATTTTTTATGTCTTCATAATAAAAGCAAATGTCTCTTCCTCTGGTTCCTCTGCAAGTACTTCTAAAACATCAAGTAAATAAAAACTATGAAGTATTTAAGAAGGCTAAAACATCAAGTAAAACAAAACAGATGGAATGCATGCAAGACTTATACAACAAGGTATATGTACAAAAAGTCAAAGAAAAAAGGATATTTTTTTGAACGATAGAGTCTGACATTGTCTGAAACCTACTTTGCTGCAAAGAAAAAGAATTTCATTTTAGAAATAGAAAGATCAACAAAACATATAAATGGTAGAACCAATATGAAAAGATACAGTAGGAACAAGCTAACTCACCATTTGTTGAAGAAGACTTTGCACCTGCAATGAGTGAGAAAAGAAACGGAAGGACAAATAAATAAGAAGACAAGTAAACAGAGAGCATGAGCTATGGGTGATCATACATTAAAAGATGATTATAGAAAAGATTGATGGCATCTAGAATATAATAAGTTCACCAAAATATTTCTATCATATTATGTTTGGGGTGAAGAACATGAGTGGGAGAGACACGTATAATACTTTTGGTTTGTTAAGACTTATATTTTACATTTACAATAAATAGACATCATATGATCATATCACTGATATTATATTCCGTATTAATAAACCATATCAACGCCATCATCATCACAAGTTTAAGGAAAACATTCCATGTTTCAAAACTAATAGTTCTTCAGATGCAGATGGTATTTGCATAACTGATTTGCATATTTTTCCCCTGGAGACACATTCACAAAGAGTGCAAGCAATGAAACATGAAACCTTGATATTTAAAAATTAAGATATGTGTATTAAATTCATTTTGTACTTTTTCCATTATACTATTATACTCGAAACACCCATGATTGCTTGTTACATATAATCTCAACGTAGTAAAACTCGTTTTTATTCTGAAAACTTACAAACTGAGTCATATCGGCAGTGCTTTCTTTTGAGCTATCTCCATCCTGCCAAATTAACATTTAAGATGTTGAGCAGTATACAAAAAAGTACCAAAGAGTACACATGTACCTACATTGACTTAAAGTCTGGTCACTAATTCACAAGCATGCGAACATATTCCATATAAAAACATCAGCTTCAATGTTTTAGTATCTTCGAGTTTCAATTAAATGGATGGCGAAATAAGTCAAATCTATTCCAAATAACCAATTGTTAGAATATGCTGGTATGGCCCCAAAACTGTAATGTTTATTAACCATTGCACTCCGACCAAATTATGTGTAGTGTGCCCAAACAAAATAATGGCTCAAGAATAGAAAATAAGAATGAAAAAATGTATGGTGTTCCATATATAGCGCAACTGAGGTCATTTAAACTGTTGCATCAAAATCACTCAAGTATGTAAATATTGCAAGAATAAAGAAGAAAAATAACCAACATTGGCAGTACGAGAAACAAAAACACGTCATATTAACATTAAATCAAGCTCTCACTGGTATAGGGTCTTGATGCTAAATTGCAAGAATATACTCGTAATCCCTGTCTCACAAACAACTAGCAGGCAAGTCAAAGACAAGAGAAGTTCTATTTTCAAACTTTGCAGCAAAAAAATTTCCATTTTATAAGCAGAAACCAAAGATGGAGATCTATATCTGAAAAAATGAATTATATTGCCGACCCACAGTGAGCTGTGAAGCCCACAACCCCTCAGAACTGAACCCACCCATGTAGAATGCCTAAATCTTAATACAAACACTTAGCAACTAAAATGAAAACCACATTGTCCAAAAAAAACATGAAAACTACGTTGACTGGGATACCTTGTTTATCAAATGAACCAAAAACCCATTGGTCATGTTTTTCTAGACTATCCATATCTATTTCCGGCATTTCATCAATAGGCAAACCAAATCTCACATCACTATACAGATCAAAACTGGAAAACTATACACATACGCAAACATGGAAATGCAGAACAGATCAAACATTCCGAAACTGTAATAACAACTGTGAGCCCTAAATCTGGAATAAAACTCTTAAATCGGAATTTAAAATAATGAAACCAGAAACGTGGAACAAAACCAGAATTACCATGATTTGCAATGGATTATAAGCCGAAAGGAGCTCGAGTGTCTGATATCTGAGCGAGGAAGGATGCAAGATTTCCCTTGTTAGGGTTGAGTGCTGTGCGGGATTTCGAAATTGGAGACTGGAGTTTTGGGAAGGGATTTGATGGTAATTTGAAATTTGCAATGACAAAATGGATCCCGTCCTGACTTTAAGAAATTCTTTCTCTTGTGCCTTTTTGAGATGTGTAGGTTAAAATTCATTTGAAAGAGGATTACGCTATTTGTACCTCAAAATTTGTATCCAAGTTTGCATCCTCATTTTATATAAGTGTAATACTAGGGTGATAGTTCACACAGTTACAAAATGTTAATACAAATTTTTATTAATGTACCAGTATTTTGTCTCAGTGTGAACAATAAAAATGTAAGTGTATGCTTTTGATGTAACTTTGGAGTACACTTTTTGTTGTAATTCTAGCATGGTTGTTTGAAAAATATGAAGTAAAAGAATATATGGTGACCCAAATGACTAACTCCAATCATGACTCCAAGTTTTTTTACAAACTTATTGTCTTTGTCACATAAGCAATACTTTCTCCATCTGGAAATGTTCTTCTCACTTTCTTTTTTGGCCAATTTGAAAATATTTTTCTTATTTCCTTTTTTCGTATATCTTTTAAGGACGAATTTCAATAATACCCTTTTATTTTATCACGCATCTACTTTTTATTATTTTTTTAATAAGAAAAGGAGATTTAAAGGTTTATAGTATATATATTTTTTGAAATTTAGCACTTTTTTACTACTCGTCAATAAGTGTGTCAAGTCAACACAGGACGGACATTCCCGGATGGAGGGAGTAACAATCTATGTAATCTATTGCAAAACTATAAGTCATGGTTGAGTTTATTATTCCACATCATTACTCTAGCCCGGCCGAATCCGTTCTAGACTTATGTGAAACTATTTTGGGTGATATGACATCTGGATTAATTAGTTAGTAGCATATCTAAAGCAACAAAACTAAATTAGACGCATTTACACATTTTTCAATTGACCTTCAGCTTAATCATACTTTCTCCGTACCAAAAAGAAAGACTTCTTATCTCCTTTCTAAATGTTTCAAAAAAAGCCTTATCTTTTCTTTTTAAAAAAACTTTGAGTGTCTTATAATCTTTCTCTATCCTCAACATTACTTCAACCACACATTTTTATTTTTCATGAAATTTTGTGTCAAGTCAAATTGAAAGCCTTTCTCACTTTCAACATTGTCCAATAGGACTAAATTAGACGTAATTAATCATTGTTGCCTCCACTAAACATCTCATTGAGAAAGCACGAAACATAAATGTTTTCTTCTCTAAACATCTCATTGAGAAAGCACGAAACATAAATGTTTTCTTCTCTTCGTCAGATGAAGATGAGATGATGATCCTATTTTTGGAAAAAGTATAAGGTAAGAGTTGTGGAGAGAATGAAAATATATTTTGTGTGTATATGTGTACACACACACACAAATATATATATATATATATATATATATATATATATATATATATATATATATATATATATATATAATGAGAGGGTATTTATAGTTGAAAATTTAAAAAAATTAAAAAATTAGCAACGACCAAAATTTTGACCAATGGGGTGTAGGGGTAATGGCTCCTTCTTGCGCTTCATCTGCGTAAAATGTTTAACACATAAGGCTTAATGCCTATGTAACACTGCAGGAGACAGAGTTTAACACGATTAGTCAAAACCCCCGATTGACAAGGTGGACGTCACGAGCATTTCCAGTGTCCTAAGTAAAGTCAAAATAAATTTGGAATTGAAGATTAGTCAAAACAATGAGGGGTGGGAAGTGAGTTGTTTTTTAGGTGCCAAACAACCAAAAAGGCCAGCGAAATGGGCTAATAATTGATCGAATGGGATTGAGATCGCACCAAACGGCCATTTAGTATTTAAAAAATAAGGTTTCGCACTTTCGCTTAGAGTGGTTTTTAGTGTCAACGGATAATATTCGCTCATATCGAGTTTTTTCGGTACTCCATTTACAAAATTGATAATTCTTACTCCTTTAACACTTTAACCTCTCTCTAAACTTCTCACCGCATCCCCACTTCAGTCCGACCCATGTACCCCCCACCCATGTGCAAGAGTCGGACTGAGGTGGATGTGCGGTGTGGGGTTTAGGGAGGGTGTTAGACGATAAGAACAATTAATTTTGTGAATGAAGCCCAAGAGGAGTACCAAATAAGCGAGTGTCATCCATTGACACTAGAAACCATGTCAACAGAACCTTGCCGAAAAAATAAAATATTTGGAATAGGAAAAATTCCCCAAAAATAGTACATCATTTGAATAAAATATCATTTTTGGAATAATATTTTTTGTCAATTAAATACACAAGAGTAAATTCCCAAAATAGCCCTTTGTAATAAAATGTTTTCCCAAAATAGTCCTCAATAAGTTTTAATTAACAATGTAGTCCTCTATAATTGAGATTAATTCCCAAGATGGTCCTTCGTAAATAATATTACTCAAATGAGGATTAATTGAGAATATTTTTATCCGCTAAATTTAGAATTAAATCTTAAAATAATCATTTATAATGAAGTGCTTTCTTAAAATGGTTTTTCTAATTAAAGATGTGTATTTGATTTGAAATTTAAATTTTTTTTTAAGTTTTAAATAATTCATACTCCCTCCGTCCGGAAATAATCTTCCCACTCTACGTTTTTTTTCGTCCGGAAATAATCTTCCCACTCTACGTTTTTATCAACACTCTCCCAATAATACCCTTCTTCTCCCTCACCATTTCTTCTTCCCCATTTCTCATTCCCCAGTCCCCACGGCCAAATCTGGCCTTATCTTCATCACTCTCTCTCCCTTCCCCCTTGATTTTCTTTTTTCTTCGCCATTTTCTTTCACTTCCTGCTCCCCCTTCGTCTTCTTCTCTTTCTCCTTCTCCTTCTCCTTCTCCTCCTCCTCCTCCTCCTTCTCCTTCTTCTTCTTCTCCTTCTCCTTCTCCTTCTCCTTCTCCTTCTCATTCTCCTTCTCATTCTCCTTCTTCTTCTAGATCTGTGTTAGATCTGTGGACTTCTTCTTTTTCTTCTTCTTCTTCTTCTTCTAGATCTGTGTTAGATCTATGGACAGTGGGGGCAGGACAACGGTAGGTGGTGGAGTAGTGGTAAGGCTGAGGCAGTGAATGGGCGGCGATGGCGCCGGTGCGAGGTGGGGCGGCAGTGGGTCAAAAATAGCGGTGGGGTGGTGGCCCGGTGGGGCTGGGCGGCGCTGGCGAGGGGTGGGGCTGGGGCGGCGCTGGCGAGGGGCGGTGCTGGCGAGGGGCGGCGCTGGCGATGGGCGGCGCTGGCGATGGGCAGCGTAGCGATGGGCGGCGCTGGCGAGGGGCGGAGGTAGGGCTGGTAGGAACGATAGAAGGGCAGAAGAAAATAGGAGGGTAATTTGGACATTTTAATGATGTAGTCAACCCTCACTAAAAATGAGGAAAAGTCAAATTGGGAAGTTTAATTCCGGACGGAGAGAGTAACTTATTTATAGTCAATATATTTTTAAATTTTTACATTTAGTTGTACAGAAATGATTGTTTCGAGAATATACTTTAAATTTGGATGATCAAAATACCAAAATTTCTCCCAATTAATCCTTTTTTGAGGACTGGTTTGAGAAAACATTTTATTACATAGATATAAACCAAATACATTTATAAAACTTAAAAAAAATTAAATTTCAAATCAAATACACATCTTTAATTAGAAAAACCATTTTGGGAAAGTATTTCATTATAAATGATTATTTTAAGAATTGATTCTAAATTTAGCAGAGAAAAAATACCCTCAATTTATCCTCATTTGAGTAACATTATTTACGAAGGATCATCTTGGAAATAAATCTCAATTATAGAGGAATATATAGGTAATTAAAACTTATTGAGGACTATTTTGGGAAAACATTTTATTACAAAGGACTATTTTGGAAATAAATCTCAATTATAAAGGACCACGTAAGTAATTAAAACTTATTAAAGATTAATTTGGAAAAATCCCTTATTACAAAGGACTATTTTGGGAATTTACTCAATACACAAGGTTTACTCTTTTGTCAAATGAAGACATGACGTCAATATTTGGGGTTATAGATAACGGAAAATCCAAGTGGAACATCCATTCTGCTATTTTTTACTTGTTGCCAACAAACCTCTAAAATTTATCAAACCCTGCTTCTCAAAAAGAGCAAAACTTCATAATTGATCTTTTATAATAGAGTATTTTTCTTATTTAGTTCTTTATTATCAAATATTACCTAGTGATCTTTCTTTGATGATTACCTTTCTACAAATAGTACCTTTTTTATATCCTCTGTCACATTAGTGTTAATTTGAGGATTAAAAGTGCAATTTAACAATGATCATATATCTTTCTTGGCATACACAATTCTAAAGTCCGTTTTTGATTCATCGTTTGTGAATTGCAGTCACTTTTAACTACAACTATAGTCTACAGATGTGATCTTTGTCGGGTTCCTAGTCCATAATCATAGTCATTATTGATGTGTTGTCTGTCTAACCAACATGGTAATACATCATTGGACATAACGTTGATGTCAAATTATATTTTAGCCTTCAAATTAACACTAACATGACACAATGTTGAAAAAAAAGACCATTTGTGAAAATACCCAAAAAAAGGACCACGGAGGTATTATTTGTTAATAGAAGACTAAATATAGAAAACCTCATATCATAAAGGATTGATTATGAAATTTACTCTTTCAAAAATTTTAAATCGAGGCTTTCTCAATTCTTGTCCATCTTTTTATCATCGGTTGGGTTCTACAACCACTCAAAAAGAGTGGATACGGAAGCCACTCACCCATTTTGGACACCCTTCGTTCAAAAAATTGATAGTCTCTACCCTCTAACCCCCCTCCCACCCGGTAAATCCCCACGCAGTTTTGACCCTAACTCATCCCCCCAACCACGTCAATTGTGGGTGTAAGTTTAGTTGACTTTCGAGCCAAATTTTTTTTACTCCAAAGTCAACTAGTTTTGCACCCCGCAATTGACGTAGTTGGGGGATGAATTGGGGTCGTGTTAGAGTTCCCACATCGGAAAATAAAGATGAATATCACTTGCATAAATTGAAGGGTGAAGCCCTACCTATCAGCTTAAGCTTTTGGGTTAGAATTGTGGATCCCGACTTTATATGCAAGTGGTTAATTTTACCCGACACTCTATCCGTTGTTCTCGGCCCGCCGGAATTTTAACATGGTATCGGAGCAGGTCCGGTCCGGGTTTGATTGTTCCTGGTTGTTTGTTGTGGGTTTAGCAAAAATGTGCTACCCGTATGTTGTTTGGGCTGAGTTGGCTAAAAAGAGATTGAGATGCCACCGCCAGTTGTGTGGGCTAGCTATAAGAGATTGAGATGCTAGACCCGTTTGTCCAAGTGCTAACTAGGCCAGGCTAGTTACCACTTGCGGGGGAGTGTTAGAGTTCCCACATCGTAAAATAAAGATGAATATCACTTGCATATATTCAAGGGTGAAGCCCTACCTATCAGCTTAAGCTTTTGGGTTAGAATTGTGGATCCCGACTTTATATGCAAGTGGTTAATTTTACCCGACACTCTATCCGTTGTTCTCGGCCCGCTGGAATTTTAACAGGTTGAGACCGAGTGAGGGGGTTTATCGTGAGGTAGGGGTATAAAATATCGATTTTGCGAACGAAACACCACATGTGTTCAAATTGGGTGAGTAGCTTTCGTAGCCACTCTTTTTGAGTGGCTTTAGGACCAAGCTATTTTATCATAATTTCAAATCTATGAAATCTTGTTATCTTTTTCAATTACTTCTGATACATTCTCATGCTCTAAATTGTGCACTTTGTCAAATTAAATCTCCAATTCCCTAATGTTTATTATATTATGTTCCTAAGAAATTTAGAAATTAGTGATGTAATATGAATAAATACTCAATTCAAGGCTTGGGACTTGCGTTGTAATTTGAAATGTAAGACTAAGATGTTGAGTATGAAAACTGGCATATTTTACGCCCCTTGTTCACATGACATTGGGAACCAATGTCATGGGATGACCCGGGGGTGAGCACACCCTGTTCGTAAAATTGACAGCTCCTACCCCCTTACCCCCCCGATAAGCCCTCCACCCCACCCCGACCCGCACACACCCCCTCACCGCCTTCAATTGCACCCCCAAGTTAATTTTGACTTTAGAGTCAAATTTTGACTTCAAAGTCAAAATTAACTTGGGGGTGCAATTGAAGGGGGTGGGGGGTGTTCGGTCGGGGCAGGGCGGGGGTTTACCGGAGGGTGGGGGTAGGAACCGTCATTTTTACGAACGGGACACCGGAGCTCCCCGGGTCATCCCATGTCATGGAAATCGGCCGCTATTTTACGAGGACTAAATATATATTTAACGTTTGCACAACCGAAAGTCCAAAACTGTGATGTCTCTAAGCCCAAAAATAGAAGTTGTTAACATACAATGAGAACTATGGTCTTGATGCTTCGGGTCTATTTTAAGAATTGAGAATTTTTTCCAAAAAAAAATGGTGAAAGTCAAAGAGTGGTATGAGGTTGGTGCATTGGATTATCTAAAAAGGTTAAATTGTTTGCCAAATACATATGTTACTTTTAGAATAACCTTGAAAATTTTATTTAAGTGTTGCATCCGCATAGAGAAGTTTCTCAAGACCGAAGTTGATAAAATCATCAATGTCTCAAAAAGACCACCACATGATCTCAGTTTATCCTACTTTAAACTGAATCTAAAACTAGAAAAAGCACAGCTAGGAGAAGAAACTTATACAAAAAACTAATACTTGGGGATGTTAAATTTTAGTATTAAATAAATGAATGAATGAATAGATGGTATACAAGAACTCAAATGTATGATTCTATAAACCCCTACCTCTATCTGTAGGTCACTCCAATCTGTGGATTGATTGCACTCTAGTCAAGAGGGCTACCTATACCTTGACAGCTTTAAACGAAGGGTGAAGCAGCCCGTATTCGTCTCTTACTTCAAGAGGATTGTTAGACTCGTTGCGAATCCTCTTCACTCGCTTGCTTGAGAGATCCTTGTGGATGAACCCATACATCTGCAGAATCTGGTTGTCCCCAAAGTTGAACGCACGGTCCATCTGCTTCAAGCACCTCTCCACTGGATAGTCCCCAAACTTCAGACATGGCTTGCAACCCACAAAGTGTGTCACCAGAGGCCACCTTTGATCGCCGAAACCAGGGTGGTAGGTTTCCATCAGATCTTCATACTTGTCCACCAAAATCCCCCAGTAGCCGTGCAAGTAGAAGGTGCTCTCCAGGTACACCTTGGGTGCCCACTTTTCCTTCTGGGTCACCAGCAGATACACCATTGCAGACTGATCATCAGCTTCGAAAACCGGTCTGCCCTTGAGCTCCTGGGTCAGCATCTTCCCTGCCTCCTCCCTGACCTTCCCTTTAGGTCCCATAGGGGCCAGTTCATCAAGAATGTCTAATGACCACTGGCAATTTCTCAGCAGAAAGCTACCGGTGTTCAATCCGATCCAATTCCTGTCTCCATACACCATATGATCCCAACCGTGGATGATCAGATTGGACTCTTTGTACTTCTCCCATGGCAGCTCAAATGCCATGTCTGTGAACATGGCATCACTGTCCATCCACCAGAAGAACTCGACCTCGGGGTGGGACAGCATGAGCTTCCTAATCAATGGCAGTTTTGCCCAAAACCCGGACATTTCAGAATCGAGCAGGGCCAAATTGTAGAAAATCTCAATCCCATGTAACCTGCAATAATCAATCTTGTTCTTGATCGCCTTTAACAAGTAATGATCCCCAATCGGATTCTCACAGGGTTTCGGGGATGACCCGGTAACCAACATAACCCTAGGTTTATTGCGCCTGTGGAAATTGGGGAAACCTCGATTTCTCCTCAGCCACAGACCCCTCTGCCGGTCCCAATTGCTAATCTTCGGCCCTAGACTGTACGGAACGGCCGGATCACGGCCCGATTCCGCCTCGCCGTCGTCTTCGTCGACCATAACACTAGTCACGTCGAATCCATTGTAACTGTTAGTGGCCGAGACGCGTCCGGAGGATTCTTCGAGAAAGCGGCGCGGCTCGGTCCGCTTGCGGTAATGGTTGAATGTGTCTCGAATGTTCCTCAAGTCCTGCTCTGGAGTACCGAACTTTCCGGCGCCAATGGTTCCGCGGAGGACGACGACGGTGAGGACGAGGCAGAGGAGCGTTAACTTACAATGACGGAGATGTCGCCGGACACGCCACGCCCGCCGCGGACCTAAGAACCGTTCCAGCATTTTTCTCTGTGGTGTCTCAGACCGAGAGTGGGATCGACAAATGGGAATGGAAAAATGAAAATCTGGAATAGTATTTTGGTAAATTTAAAATTAAAAACGGATAAAAAGTGGATACTGATTATATTGCAATGCTGCATACTACTACTAATGCAAAAATCAAAATAGAACTCATATTCATGTCATTTTGGCTACTTTATAACTTATGAAAGGAGATTTTTTTAAGATTTAACTTGACGAATGAATATATTATTTTCTAAAATAAAGTGTTGGAGCAATAAAAATAATTTTATTATTTTGACTGCACCTAGAAATATAAAACATTCTAAGTTGCCTGTGTACCCCAATTAAGGGGTTCAAGCCACATGTAGTTCAAAACAGGATTGGTTAAATTAACCAGATAAGCCTTCAAGGCGCGTGATACTTAGAAAAGCTTTCCTAAAAGTTTCTTATCTACGTTATTATAAGCAACAATGGTTACAAGATAGAACTTTTGGGATACAATGAAGAAGACCAAATTGTTCGGTTACTCTACGAAACAATTTGTTAATGTACTTTAACGAGACTTGTCTCGAGAGAAAGGAAACAAAAAAACATAAAAAAATACACTAATTAATATCTAATCATCATAGAATAAATATAAAAAATAAATAAATTATTTTATTATTATTTTAAATAATCAATGAAATAATAATTGTTAGCGTATATTATGTATATATTATTTTATGTATACTATTTTGTAATATTGTGGGCCTATCGTGTTGGGCTTGTAACTTGTATTTATATCCTTCGGTATCAATGAAACAATCAAGTCATTCAGTTCACCAAATTTTACATGGTATCAGAGCTAAACCTGGGATATCACCGTAAAACCCTAGGTCTAACGCTGCAAGTCCGTCTCTCGATTCGCCGATCGTCTGTGCTGGTTATCCTCGCCGGAACGCCATCAGTCCCTCGCCGGTGAACTGTCTCGCGTCTCCGTCCTAGTCCCCTGTCTCGCCTGTCTGAGTCCCCTGTCTCGCCGGCCTATCCATGTTCGACCGTCCCTTTTCCGGTCTTCTGTGAAGAAGAACTGTCAGAATCCATTATTGAAGTTGCCGTCCCTTCCCGCCCCTTTTCCGGTCAATTGCCGCAGCAGGTTTTCCCACAAGTGTTCCGTCAAGTGACATGGGCCCTATTTATAGAAAATAATATGCCCCTTTATAAATGATCATGTCTCTTTTGTAAGAGACACACCCATTTAATCAAAAATTTCCAATTTAAATTCAAAATAGATATTCAAGAGTTATGTCATTTAAGAATAAACATGTCTCTTCAAAGAGTTGTGCCTATTTATTTAAAATTCAATTTTGAATTAAAAATAAATCTCCAACAATCCTCCTCCATTTATTTCGAATTCAAAATATATAAATTTGCCCACAAGACAAATTTCAAAAAATTCATGCATAAATGAAAGTGTAACGCATATTGAACTTCCACTTAGTGTAATACTCCGTACATTTTACAATATTTTGGATTACAATAGTAGACTAAGCTTTGAACTTTGTAACCGCTTTAAAATATTGAAGATATTACGCACACAAATTTTTCTTAAAGTACAATAATAACTTGACACTTTAATTTTTTTTCAGGCCATGTGCCCATATCCATTCGTGAACATAACTAAGTCAAGCCCCTAACTTGGAAAAGTGGCCGCACTTCATGCTCATATAGGTAGATCTTTTAATCGTGTTCTGCAATTGCAACACTTTTTCAAAAGATCTATTAAGATATTCAACCTTCTTTTCCACATTAACAAATTGTTTCGTAGAGTAACCGAACAATTTGGTCTTCTTCATTGTATCCCAAAAGTTCTATCTTGTAACCCTTGTTGCTTATAATAACGTAGATAAGAAACTTTTAGGAAAGCTTTGCTAAGTATCACGCGCCTTGAAGGTTTATCTGGTTAATTTAACCAACCCTGTTTTAAACTACATGTGGCTTGAACCCCTTCATTGGGGTACACAGGCAACTTAGAATGTTTTATATTTCTAGGTGCAGTCAAAATAATAAAATTATTTTTATTGCTCCAACAATTTATTTTAGAAAATAATATATTCATTCATCAAGTTATATCTTAAAAAAATCTCCTTTCTTAAGTTATAAAGTAGCCAAAATGACATGAATATGAGTTCTATTTTGATTTTTGCATTAGTAGTAGTATGCAGCATTGCAATATAATCAGTATTCACTTTTTTATCCGTTTTTAATTTTAAATTTACCAAAATACTATTCCAGATTTTAAATTTAATCGACAAATGGTGTGTAAAAATGAAAGTGGACAAATACTCTGGGACGGAGGGAGTACTTGATAATGACCAAAAGTCCTACATTGGGAAATAAAAACATATGATCCTATATTGAGAAAGTCATTATATTTTAGTTCTATTTAGGTAAATTGCTCTTATAAGTAACCTCTCTTGAGATTTGGTGTTTCACCCCTTTGAATCTTTGATATGATCTTAAAATAATATAGAAAACCTTCAATTGTAAAGGATCTATTAGCGACTTGTCAAACCAAATCTATTTTCTTTATATATTTTAATGGATCAGCTGATATAATAAAATAATCATGTTATCACTTGTTTTATAAAATTGCAAACGTAATTTTGTAATATTTAATTTTTAATTATACAGTAATTTTTTACATTTATAAATCGAATACTACTTCCGTCCCATAGTATTTGTCCACTTTCATTTTTACACACCATCCAATACACTTCTTTAATCCATTTTATCTTGTAATTTGTATATTAAAAAATTATAGAAATTATATATTAATAATATATATGTTGAGACAAATCAAACAAGATCACACATGACTATATTTAGGCTTACACATTGAGAGAATTTGATGAGTCAAAGTACTTAGATGAACAGTTTCAAAAGTCAAAATGGGACAAATATAGCGGGACGGAGGTAGTAGTCATTAGTCAACTAAATGTCCATTATCACTGGACATTATTCCTTCCACAAGGTCATTATTAAGTCCTATTTAGGGAATAAAAAAATTTAAGTCCTACATTAAGAAAGTCATTATGTTTTAGTCCTATTTAGTGTAAATTTCACTATTTATAAGTACACCTCAATCAATAACAATCAAACTTTTCTTCTTAGAGTAATTGACTAATGTCCAATAGTGGGCTAATTGACTCTCTCTAGCTCACTCTTATGTCGTTCCTCATTTTAACAAGTGCATCTCTATCTTTGTTTTGTTCCCAAAAAACATGAGACATGCAAATCTCCCAACTCTTCTTTATCCAACTCTAGTAGGCCTCAATGATACAGCCCATTTGGTGTCATAACATTCCCACGTGTGAGTTGTGACGCATTATTATCATTCCCATTTGGTTAAGTTTGAAGAGATATTGTATTGAAGGGAGGGTAAACCGTTAATCGAAATCGAAGCATACAATTCAGGATAATTAAGGTCAGGTCAATTCATGATATTTTGATGTAGTTTTTAAATATATAAATTTTATATTTTAATTTCATTTTAATTTTTTATTAAATTGAATAGAAAATATTTTTAATCAAAACTCATAAATAATACGGAGTAATACACGATGATAGAGAGAGTTTATTATCAAGCACGTCCCCGCTGATTGGCACCAAAATAAAACTCAAATCAGCCGCCTCTATGGACTAATGGAGTCAATGCTTTCAGCTTTTGTGCAATTAAATAAATTTAAAAAAGTACAACCTTCGTCCAAAATCCAAATGGGCGTGACGAATTTGAATTCTTATAGTTTAACTGGACGGATTTTGTTTATTAATTACATAAAAATTACGAGTATATTTTCTTTCGTTCTAAAATAAATTGTATGCTTATTAGGGGTGTAAACGAACCGAATCGAAGCGAATACCGATATGTTTGAATTTGTATTTGTTTAATTTTTTCGAATACGAATCCGAATCCGAATTTGAGACGAATTCAAAATAAGATTTGAATAAGTATTTGATTAATATTCGAATAGTTATCGAATCATAAACGAATATTTGAATAATCATACTATGTAATTTATATGATGGACCAACATCAATTTGTAATTTAACTTACGATACTGTTTATACTATACTATCTTCCGTATATAAAAACATTAATACATTTGCATCTTACACAAATTATATTTTATAAAATATAGCTATTAAAAATCATATGCTTTAGATTTTTGTGTTACGTTAATTTATTGAATTCTTAGTATTTTAAATACACTTTATACTATATTACTTTGCTTGACTTTTAATGTTGAAAACATGGTCTGTGTATATATACATATATTCGAATATTCGAATATCATCCGAATCGAATATATCCCTATTTGTATTTGTATTTGATTAATATTCGAATCAAAAATAATATTTGAATTTGAATTTGTATTTGAATAACGCGAATTTGAATCATCATATTCGAATACGAATCGCGAATCGAATTTAAAATATTTGATTTGTTTACATCCCTAATGCTTATTATTCATAGAGTAAAACTTTGTTCGCTTTCTTTTTCTATTTTTATTAGTAATTTGATACTTGGTCCGTCCCTGAGTGTTTGTCCAGTTTGACTTTTGGAACTGTTCATTTAAGCAATTTGACTCATCAAATTCTCTCAATGTGTAAGCCTAAATATAGTCATGTGTGATCTTATTCGATTCGTCTTAACATATAGATTATTAATATATAATTTTTATATTTTTTTAATATACAAATTACAAGATAAAATGGATTAAAGAAGTGCATAGGATGGTGTGCAAAAATGAAAGTGGACAAACACTCAGGGACGGAGGGAAAAATAATATAGTCATGTCACAACTAATTTTATAGATCTTTTGATGCAGCTTTTAAATATATAATTTTTATTTTTTAATTGTACTTCATTTTTCATATAAAATAATTTGTAAATAACTTTTGTCAAATATCGTAAACCGAAACAGGCAACTTAAATTGGGACAGATGGAGTATTTCATATTAATATGAAAAAGATTTATTTATATCTATTTTGTAAAAATAATTCAAAGTTTGATTTTAGTAATATATATATAATACAATGTACGGAGCTGAGTAATATTTATTTAGTTGATAGTTAACGTTTTTTACTACAAAAAGTCAAACTTGAGAAGCACGTTACCAAGAGGCCTCCAGCTCAAACAACATAGATAAA